AAACGTAAAATTCAAAAAGCAGTCTAAATTATGTCCTCACCTAACACCGTACTGAGTTATACCACTTAATAGAAGTCCACTACTGATGGCCAGACCCGCGTAGCCACCAGCCAGCTCCGGCGTCAGCATCACCGAGAGGGTGATGCTGGCAATATAAAGGACGACAATCCAGTCGATGATGATGCCGATGAACTTGCTGAAGCTCAGGTAGTGGTACCAAATGCCGCTGTGGTCGTCCAGGTACCGGTGGAATTGACGCTCAAAAACGGCCTGAGCCCCATAAGCTCGGATGCTAGCCAGGCCGCTGATTGTAATGTTGACGTGATTGTAAATGGGAGAACGGGCTGTGGAGAAAAGATGGTAAAAAAGGTTATGAAGATATAACAATAATGAAACTCTTACTGAGGCCTTCAATGCGTTTGATGTCTCTGGCACTGACAATGTACATTGCACGAAGAAAAACAACGATAGCAAAGATGGCCACTGCGGGCAGCACCAGGTACCAGTTGACCAGACTGACAGTGACAATAACGCCGATGGCGTTTCCAAGAATCTGGTGGTGATAAAAAGCTTATCAAAACTAAATCTCAAAACATTTTCACGTTTACCAAATTCAAATCAAATGCCGTCAGTGGGAGCGTCTCATCAGTGATGCCCAGATCTTTTGCCAGGCGATTTAAAATTCTGCCCGCTGGCACTGAATCATAAAAGGCAACCGGAGCACGAAGCAACCGTGCAAAGGTGTCATTGTGCAGCCTTACTGAGGCCCGATTACAAATGGCAAAGAAGCTGAAACTGCGCACTATGGTGCTGGCAAAGAGGGCGACAATGAGACCGCTGTAAATGAAGATATCTCGCTGTTGTTCGTCGATATCAGCAAATAGCTTAGTGGCATTGTTTCCACCTTTTGGCACTTTGACTTCCTCCTCTTGATTTTTCGTTGTCCAGTACGTAAGAAAGATGTCAGTGCCGTGAAAGAGCGACTGTGAGAGCAGGGTGAAGGTGATCATGGTGATCCAGAGAAGAGGTGCTCCGCTGGCGCGAATGTACTTTCCGTAGACGGCGGCGTCGAGTGAGCCCACCTGGGCCAGTTCCTCTTTCACCTTGACCACTTCCTGGTTGAGAAGATTTAGTGAAAGTTGAGAAGAACTGAGATTGGAGGTGATTGAAGACGAGGAGCTGTTTTTTCTTTTAACGCTATCAGTGATGCTTTGAAAAGTGCTGTACACTGAAGAAGTAGAAGATGAGAGAGATGAAGTATCAGAGTAAAGGCTTGTGGTGTCATTTTTTGAGTTTTCTTTCTCTTTCTTCTTTTTCGCCTCTTCATTTTCTTTTTCTAGAATGCTCATAAAATCAACGCCCTGCTGCTGAAGCTCCGTCCAAGTACCGTAGGCAAGAATGCTGCCCTCCTTGAGCACCAGAATCTTGGTGGCCTTTTCCACAAACTGCAGCTGATGCGTGACAAGGATGCGGATCTTGTTGGCCAAGTAGCCGACAATGCACTGCTCAAAGATGTGCTCCGCCACGGTGGCGTCCACCGCCGAGAGCGGGTCATCGAGCAGGAGAATGTCGGCGTCTCGGTAGACGGCTCTGGAATGGTAAGAAATGAGTTAAAAATTTTGAGTTTTAAGTGCTTTTGTTTTCCATTACCTTGCGAGGTTGACCCTAGCCTTCTGCCCACCAGAAAGTTGAACACCTTTCTCGCCGACCAGTGTCTGGTCAGCGCGCGGTAGCAGTTGCAGGTCTCGCTTCAAGGCACACACCTCAATCACCCGTCGATATCGCTCTGGTTCGTAGGGTGCACCAAAGAGGATGTTATTGCGAATGCTGTCATTGAAAGACCAGGCCTCCTGACTGGCGTAGGCCAACGACCCATCCACGCTGACCGTTCCCGATTGCAGAGGTAACTCTTTTAGTAGTGTCATCAGAAGGGAACTTTTCCCTGAGCCGACGCTGCCGACCACGGCGAGAAGGTCGCCGTTGACCAGGCGGTCAACTGATATGTCTGACAGTGTTTGCTGAGACTGAGGGTCCTGTGCAAAAATAAGTGTTTAAAAAATAGTGGTACTTTTTGAAAATAAACAGTTACCGCATTCCACCGGGCAGTTATGTGCTCAATGGTCAAGCTAGGATCGTTGACAATCGGCGATTTCGGTTTCGGCAGTTTGTAGCAATTTTGTTTAGCACTCGTTTTTTCTTTCTTTAGCGAACTTTCCCAGTCAGAGGTCGTCTCCTCAAGAAGAAGGAATTTCTAAGGAAAGTGGGTAAAGTTTAGATGCCACTTTACATTACATTTAACTTCTCTTACCTCAATCCGCTTACAGGTGATGCGCACTTCTGCACCCAGTCCAATTGCACGTGGAAAGTACTTGGTCATGGAGACCTGAACTGCATTCAGTAGCGACATACAGGCAAAGACGGCTTCTGCATTCAGCCGATTGCCCGATATCAACACGTACATCAGTAGGATTATAAAGAGCACCAACTTGGAGGCAATAAAGTAGGTACTGCTGTTAACCGCCTGCAGGTAACAAGCTTTCGCCACTTGGGCCACCTCTTTTGCCCTAGTTTTAGCAATTCGCAATGCAAAAGAGCGCTCCCAAGCGTACATTTTGATGACACGGATACCGGAAATGACCTCACCCAGGTAGCGCAATCTGGCATCAGTCAAACTGGCAATGGCAAAACGGACCGTTGAGAAGAGGCGGGCCATGGCACTCTGATAGGGAAGGAAGGCTACCAGAAAGGCAATTCCAGCCAAACTGGCCACTCCTACGTACTGATAGACAAAGTAGAGGGAGAGGAGGGTGTGCGCCGGGGCAATCACTACATAAGGGACCCAGATGCTGAACTCGTCGAAACGATTACAGTCATTGGACATGATGTTCACCGTTTGGGCGACCGAAGTTTGGCCCATCGCTCCCCGACTTAGTCGCAGTGACTTTTGGTAGAGGAGGGCGCAGCAGGCAACTCGAAGTCGCATTCCCAGCCGTTTTAGATGGAGCATCGTCGGGTGATTGACCGTTTGCTGGGTGAACAGCATCAAACAGAGGCCACCCGCCGTCAAGCAGGCCTCCAGGTAGCTGATTTTCTTCGTTTCATCATTGCCGCCGCCAAAGTAGCGAATGACACGACCGAGAAGGAGAGGTTGTGCCGTCCTGAAGATGCACTCGGTTATTAGGTAGATGGTCAGTGGAGGGAGGTAGCAGAGGAGGAAGCTGCGAAAGAGTGCCCAGCTGAAGGAAGGTTTCTGTGTTTTGTTACCAGCTTTTGAGCACTTTGTTTGTTCTCGTTCCCAGTTGAGCAGCAAAGATCGGGCAACCTTTTTGACGACGTCATTTTTTGGGCTCTGGTAGAGATCGTCCACCTGAAGGCCGCCCTGACGCCAGCCGCGGAGGAGGGTGGGTGCTGTGTAGCTGAGGGAATGTTTAGCAAAAAGGTTAAAAACTTTTGAAAACTTACCCAAAGATGACCTTTGAAAAGATGTTTGCCCGGTCGTACGGCGCTGGCTTTCTAAACTTGGGCTCCAACGAGGCAGTGTCCATGACTGAATGAAATCTCTGCAACGAGCTTCCTTTTTACAAAATCAGCGATTTTTTCTTTAGATTTTGATTGCCATTTTTTCCAGCACTAAAACAAACAT